ATTACTAAATCAAACTTCTTGTTTGCATATAACCTTATCTCCAAACTACTTACTCCAAAGAACCTACCAAAACTACTACAGTATCATAGATACCTTGGATCTGCCTAAAGGAATACTTTCTTTAAGGCCGTATCTGTTATTCAGAGACATTTCCTATAATCTGGACTAACCTGCCAATTATCCTTAAAGGACCACTATAGTGCCAGGAAAACATGCCCCCACCCTCAGGGACCCCCTCCCGTCCGGCTCTGGAAAGGGGAAAGGGGTAAAAACCCCTCCAGCGGGGAGCTCTCCTCCTCCGATCCTCCTCCTCTCCGCCCATTCGGCTGAATGCGCACGCGCGGCAAGAGCTGCGTGCGCATTCAGCCGGTCGCATAGGAAAGCATTTACAATGCTTTCCTATGGACGCTTGCGTGCTCTCACTGTGATTTTCACAGTGAGAAGCACGCAAGCGCCTCTAGCGGCTGTCAATGAGACAGCCGCTAGAGGCTTTGGAGGCTGGCTTAACCCATTTATAAACATAGCAGTTTCTCTGAAACTATGTTTATAAAAAAAATGGGTTAACACTAGCTGGACCTGGCACCCAGACCACTTCATTAAGCTGAAGTGGTCTGGGTGCCTAGAGTGGTCCTTTTAACTAAAGGACCTCCAGACAACTCCTGAACCAATCATACTTACCTGTTTATTTCCTCTGTAAATGTGTCCTGATTACTTGCCTTTTTTGTCTGCTCTTTCTTTTTTATTTGCCTGATTATACAAAACTGTCTATTTACCTGTTATATTTAATTTTCAGTAAACTCTCCTTATTCTTTAACTATAGCTCTCATTGTTCTTTGTCTAATTTAGTTGTTTATTGCACGTAATTGTATTTTGGGGAATATTCACTAAATTAAGTTCTTGTATTTCTTTGTCTTACCTTCCCTGATCTTACTTAAGAGAACTGTTTTGGTTTCCAACAGGGATCTTTTTAACTCAAATTTGCATAAGGCACTGGTCCAGATGATCCTTTGGTTCAGATCTTCATTTGTAAACTGTAAGAAACTCCATTTTAGGTATCCTCCTGTGCCATTGTGCTCATTTTGTAAGCCCTATCTTGATGCTAGACTCCCTAGAAGGGTTATAAACTCTCTGGTAGGGACTGACTTTGAACCCTTTCCAGGGTCAAGGACACAATAGATCTGTTTGTGTTGAACTTCACCCCTAGATAGATCATCAACTGAAATGGGGAAAGCTGACTCTTCTTGAAGTTAAAGACCCATCCAAACTTGGAGAAGATGAAGTACTCACTCTTGGTTAGAAAGGAGAAGAAGCTTGTTGCTAAAAAGTACTAGAATGTCATCCAGATATTTGTAGTTGGAAAGGTTTTCTAGCTGAATGGATGCAATTAGAGATATCAGGATTTTTAAAAAGGTTCTTGGAGCTGTGCTGACGCCAAAGGGAATAGCCCGGAATTATAAATGTTGAGTTTATGAGTAATAAATGAGTAAGGCTATATCGTATTCCTTTTAGTTGTTCCCTGTTAGAACATACTACCCTATTATTCCTTTTCTTTTGTTTCATATGGATCCCACTGCTGAACTTACCCTGGTACTCCCGTTGAGGAAATAGACACTTTGTGGACAAGCACTTTTGGCAAGTTTATTTTTACGCTACAAACTTGTACTTTCAAATATTGGACTTTTTTTCTCCTCTTGGGACTTCAGTATATATTTGTGTGCTATATTATAGCTTAAGTTTTTCTATTTATTCATTATTCTATATTGTATATTTTACTAAATTGTGGCGCTACCCCTAGCTTTCTCCTTTTTTTTTAAAATTCTTTATTTTTATTTGTGCATGCATTAACAACAAGCGTGCAGAGTTACGACAGCAACTGCAGGTATTTTCATAACTTTTCAATGCGTGGCAGTTAAACAGCACAATTTTTATTTTATTTTTAACACATGAAGATAACAGGCTGTGTAACATTAGTAGTTCATATTGAACAGACCAGGCTAGACATGTATATGACAGGTTTAGTTATGTTTGAGAGTGTGATACAGTTTTGACATTGCTTGTCTAAAAGGGGTAGACGTTTCTGCTTTTGCCACTGTTATAACGGCTTAGGTTCTCGCTTGTTTAGTTAGCAGGATGGGCAAGTCAGAGAGTGAAAATTAGAGGAGTGAAAGAGGGACAGCATGACATGTACAATGAGTTTTGCCTATGGGGTTAGACAAGAATAGCTTACTGATTCGTGTGGCAATCAATATGCTAGTGTTGTTAAAAAGTCCAGACATAAGAGGCTATATCTGTAGAGATCACGGGCTGCAGTCTCTGGGTTCCCAATCTGGGGTGCCATCCAACTCCTGCCCTTGGTAGGCTCTTCTCATGCCCAGGTGATGCAGTGGTATCCCCCTGCACTGTCTTGTTAGAGTGTGGCAGCAGCTGCGGTGTCTCAGGTCCAGGCTGTTGAGGTGGGCTATTTCTGGCTGGGTGCAGGATGCGTGGCATGCTCTTTCAGCCCCCCAGGTCTGTCTTTGCGGGACTGACAGCACCGGGGTCTGGTGGTCCCTGTGGATTTACACTACAAGGCTTGTCCTGCAGGGTCCTGCTCTTTCAATGTCCCCTTTGTTTGTGCTTATGGACTGTAGCTTGTACCTTAGTTAGTACCGTGTAGTCAGCCAACGTATCCCTGAGGCAGGCTATTGTGGTGGTCAGGTGGTGCTGGGTGGTCTCTCCCGCGATCAGCTTAATCATGCAGGTAAGTGGCTGGCGTGTGGTGGCCATCTTAAGGAGCCCTGACAGATGGTCCATGGCGGGGTAGGTGGTTGTAGGCCCTGCTCTGTGCACTTCTAGTTGCCCGTGCAGACTGGGATGACCCTGCCGGTCCAGAGGGGGGGGAAGCCAGACGCCGGCCAGAGACCCGGGAGAGTGGCCGTCTCATCCCAGCTCAAGCTCCCATGTGCTCCGGGCCCTTGTCGGGTCGTTGCCGGTGCCTGATATGGTCTTGTCGGGCATCCTCGCGTACCCCTGCAGCTGGGGGTCAAGTTGGTCACCGGTACGTTTTGCCTTCTATTAACGCCAATTTTCCAGCCCCGAGCACGTCTGATCCCGCCGGCGGCCAGGCCCTGCCCCCCTAGATTTCTCCTTTTTTGTGTTTTATTTCCATTAGTAAGACTAGAGGGATCCCTACATTTTGGGTTTAGCTGCCACCTCTATACATACTACCTTTCCTAGCCAGATATATAGACAGATAGCGCTTATCCTTCCCTTCCAGTCTTGAATAATACCCTAAACCTCTTTCTCCTGCAGGAACTGGACAGATTACTCTCTCTTATAGAGGAAATGTGAAGAGTTCTTGAGAGTAAAAACGTGAAAAACTCTTACCTGCTCCGTGTCTTGATTAATACGAATAGGGAGATATTGGGTATGAGCAATGGTAGTGAATTCCAGGAAATAGCCATTTTGGAGAATTTTCAAAACCCATATCTCTGACATAAACTGAGCCCAGAGAAATTGAAAAGTCGCCCCATTAGAATTGCTTGGCTTGTCTGGATGACCCTCCTTTGCCACAATTAGCTTTTGAAGAGGAGAGGCCTCCCTTCCATGTTTGTGTTCTGGAGAATTCTCTATCAGGTCTGTAAAGCCCAAAATCTTTGTCTCGAAAGGACCATCTCTCAAGAGGAAAGTGTCAGGACCTGTTCTATTCTGTTCAGATGTCTGGCCTTGGCTTCTGGTATCCAGTACTCTTTTTCCAATTCTTGTTTAGGTTTTCTGATTTTCTATTCTATGTCTGGTTTTCTTTATGCTGGGTTTTCTGGGTTCATTCCTATATTCCGTTACTGAAATTCCCATTCTCCTGGACTCCTTTAAATGTTTGTTTTTTGTTGCCACACCTGTTCCTTTGCTATTAATCCTTTTTGTTTCAGCCTGTTCCTGCAAGCAATGGTTTCATTTCCTCTGCTTCTTTCTTTGCAGGTAAGTACTGTGTGTGTTTACCTGCACAGCTGTAGGGACTGTCATGGTTGACTCTCGGGGGCCTCACGTGGGACACTGCTTATGCAAACTGGACTGGCTGAGATCTGTGCAGTCCGGCCGCTGTGAGCTCACGGGTTCCATGCGGCCGTGGCTCACATTTCCCCGGCCCTGGGCAGCTAGATACTGGGAGGGAGGGTGGGAAGGTAGGGAGGGGGAGGGAAGGGGAACAGGAGGGGGACGTAGAGGGGGGAGTGAGGGGGGAAAAAAATCTCTGCCCAGGGAGTCTTGGGGGGACCCAGCGGCTGACCTAGTGGTACGCGGACGGGAGGCCCGCACACGGAGTCCGGAGGCAGCGAGCCAGGGGAGGTCGGGGATGGTACGCTTGAGATATGGAGGCTGTATATGCTCTGTTATTTTATATGATGTTTCTATTTAGTTGCAAGTTTTTAGGGTGAGCGACGGACGGACAGACATGGCCCATGGACGGACCCAGAGCACGGGGTGGGACTGGACACGACAGACCGAGACCATTGGCACCCCCCCTGGGAACCCTGGGACGGTGAATGTGGAGTAGGCTTGAGGGAATTATGGTGTGGGAAAGCCCACCCAGTTATGGCCCTAGACAACCCCGAAATAGTAGCTAGCCACTCACATGAGATAAGGGGCCACCGGCTCCGAGCAGGTACTCCCCTACACCTGGGATTTCACGCACTAGACCCCCCCAACAGCAGGTTGGGTGACCTGGGAGACGGTCATTGACGGACATTCCACGTACGTGCGATGGACGCTACAGGTGGCTTTTACTGCACCCCATGCAACCAACCTTCTTTTTACATATAGGTCGGAGCCCGGACGGTCCGTAGCTTAGTGACCGCCGGACATTACCCCTGACCGAGGTTAGACGTTGCATTTATTTGCCCCTTCCCCGTATTGGCCACGCCCCTGCCCTTCCTTGCTACCTCTGGCCCCTCCCACCACTGACCGCCCCCGCCGTCTGGCGGGTATCCGGGTGCTCGGGGGGAGGGGACCTGGGACCCGGAGCCATGTCGCGTATGCGCCCGGCGCAGCTTAAGCTGTGGTCAAACAATGTTAGGGGCCTCAACGTTCCGGAGAAACGTTCCCAGCTGCTCCGCCAACTTTGGGCAGAGCAGGTGTCCGTGGCTTTCTTGCAGGAGACACACTTCGTGAGCCTTGCCCATCCCAAACTCGAAAACCACCGTCACCCGGACGTCCAGAAAACGGGCTTCGCAATCCTCTTCGCGCACTCGATACCATATCTACACAAAGAGATGCTTACAGACCCGGGCGGGAGATACATATTCCTCAAGGACACCATAGCAGACCATGCCTACACATTCGCCTGTATATATAGCCTGAACCGAACACAACACACTTTCCTGGCCAAAACACTGTCCAAACTAGAACGGTTTAGGGAGGGACTCTTGATACTAGGAGGGGACATGAATATGCCGCAAGACCCACGCTTAGACTCCTCGAGGGGCACCAGTGCCATACCCACACACTACCTACACAAGGCCCGGCGAGTCCTGAACACAGTGGGGCTTGTCGACTGCTGGAGAGCAACCCACCCTGATGATAGGGATTATACCTACTATTTGCCCACACACAAGCAGTACAGCCGCATAGATTATATCTTTATGCCACAGGAATACCTGACACAGCTACACGACGCTAACATCGGGAATATGCGCCACTCGGACCATGCCCCAGTTTCGATGCAAATGAGCTCCCCTTTATTTAAACCAGCGGAACGCCAATGGAGGCTTAATGAAACGCTGCTGACTGACCTAGACGCACGCACCACGGCTCAACAACTTCTCACCCAATATTTCAACATAAACGACACCCCCGACATGCCTTCTTTGACGGTATGGGAAGCCCATAAGTGTGTACTGCAGGGACACTTTAATTCCATCAATACAAGATGCAAGAAAGAAAAGGCGTGCCGCATCACAGATCTAACGAAGACGATCGCAACCCTGGAGAACGCCCACAAGCAGACCCTAGATGACGACCCCTACCTCCAAGTACTAGATGCCAACTCAGAACAATAAAAACGGAAGCATGACATATAGTGCAAAAGGGAAAAAGCTAGCCTACCACACCACATCCTCGGGTCCGATCAGCCACCATGAGACACAGAACGGACCCCATCACGGACGTATACAAGGGGCCTCAACCACTTACGACCCACCGTTGGACGTAGGGATTAGGCATTATATAACGACACAACACTCTTTCTGACCTGTTCCTTAACCCGCATTAGGTCCTGCACTGCAGTGCCTTACCCACGTAAGATGACGGACAGACAACGCGGCCTAAACCTCAAAGCTGGCTAGAGCCAAGACTAAGATACAAAGGGAACCGTAGCCACCCAGTGGAATGTCGATGGTACACCTCTGTCGCACTGTCTACTGTTTCTATACAAACCTTGTTGAAACTTGTTGGTTATGTTACACATGTATGTGTCATGATGGAAAAACTCAAAATAAAGAATGTCAACAAAAAAAAATGAAAATAAAATTAAAGTAAAAATAACAATAAAAATGAAAAATAAAGATGAAAAAAATATATAAAAAATATATAAAATGAAAAAAAAATGAAACAAAGTGAAATAATTAAAAAAAATAAAAAATCAAGATGAAGTCACTGCTATACTCATATGGTCTCCTGATGCCTTATACAGTAAATTATGTAAATAAATATATATGTCTAACACCTGTTTGATAGCCAATGGATCCTCAATTGAAAAAATGTGGACAGAAATTAAATTACATATAAATTAATCCATCTAGTGCTAAAATAGACACTAATAGAAATATTCATCAATATAAATAAAAGAAAAGAGGAAAAAATGAAGAAGAAAATGAGAGTGGAGGGGGAGTCCTCATTTCTACACCATCAAATCCTAACCTTAAAGGAAAGCATTGAGCTCAAAATCTATATTAAGGGCTATGGGTTCCAAACTATTAAGTCTAAAAATTCATTTTGCCTCTGTACTATCTAAGGCTTTCTCCAGATCCCTTCATCTCCAGTGGGTATTGACTTTCTCTATAGCTAAAAGCTCTAGACCTCCCTTGAATGGTGGATAGAGAAGTGTCTGGAGAGATTGTGGGTGATTAGTCCCTTTTTAATATTCTGGATATGCTCCCACAATCTTTGTTCTTCCAATATAATATTTCTTACAGGGACGTATTAGAAGGTAGATGACTCCAACTGTGTTACAGCTCAAATGGGTCCTTATTTTGAAACTTTCATCTCCTTTCATGCTTTTGAACTCTTTAATGGTGGATACTTGTGTTGGATTGTTCTTGCAACCCAGACACCTATTGCACTTTTGGAACCCTGCATTACTTATATTTATATTCCTGTATTTTGTTTCCTGTAATGTTGGAGCTGGCAGCATTTTAAGGTTTGTTGCTCGAGAATAAATTATCTTAGGTCTCTTGTCCAGAATGGTATTGAGTGTTGTATCTTCTTTTAGGACTTTCCAGTGTTTATTTAAAATTATTTTTATTTTTGATGCTTGATTGCTATATTGCGTTATGAAGGCTGGGGTTTCTGTATATATTTCCGATGTCTGTTTACTGTTGTTCAGAATGTCTTCTCGTGATAGTCCCAGAGCTCTATTTTTTGCACCAACCAACATCTCTTCTCCATATCCTCTCATTAGGAATTGTTTTTGCATTTCTTCCATTTGGATTTTGCAGGTTTCTATTTCAGTGCAGTTACGCCTGATCCGCCTAAGCTGTCAATATGGGATGTTCTCAAGCCATGTTCTTTTATGGTGGCTGTTTGAGGGAATGAAGTTGTTGCAGTCCACAGATTTAAAAAAAGTTTTAGCATGTATCATACCTTCTTTAAAATAGATTTCTAAATCCAGGAATATTACTGTTTCTTTGGATTGCGCGAACATAAATTGTAGGTTGTAGGGATTGAAATTCAGATATCTTTTAAATTCTTCCAATGAGGGTAGATCACCTTCCCAAATAAAAATGCAGTCGTCAATGGATCGCCGCAATAGGAACAGGTTTGCACTATGTGGAGAATCGTTCCAGATAAATTCTTCTTCCCACTTACCCATGAACAAGTTGGCGTAGCTAGGTGCAAACCTGGTTCCCATGGCGTTGCCCTCTATCTGAAGGTAAAACTTGTCTTGAGCCCAAAGAGATTTGTGACTGAGAATAAAAGTAATGGATTGTACCAGAAAACTGATCCAATCTTTTTCAATTCTCAGTATGTTGCGAAGGAGTATTGGATGGCCTCACACCCTTGTAAGTGTTGAATAGATATGTGCAATTCGTTTTGGTCCGAATTTAAATTCGGACAAATTTCGGGAAATTCGGACATTCGGGTACTTCCGAATGTCCGAATAGATGATTTGCTCAATTGCCGAAGTGCTGAAGTCCCAAAATTGTCGAATTTCCGAAGTGCCGAAGTTGCCGAAGTTTCAAAGTGCCGAAGTTCCGAAGCACAGTATTGCCTACGTACTAATATGCTTACCCAGTGGAAGAATGTTACACTGTATACAATTTTAAATAAAAAGTATACAAATATAGCCAGGATTCAGCTGTAAGCATTTGCAACACTTATGTCAAGGGTAATACTCCCCAACACGCAAACCAGAGAACAATAAAGGCGAACACATATAGACGTATTACCGGACCTTAAAGTGGCCGGACTTAACGTAGGAACGAGAGATAAGAATAGTCAAACACGCCAAGGTCAGGAATACAGAGATACGGGAAAGCAAAATAGACAGAGCCAAGGTCAGGGAGCCAGAAATGAGAATAACCAATAAACAAGCCGAAGTCAGGAACCAGAGAAAAGACAACTACTCAGAACGCACTCTCGGGCTATAATAAACCACAACAGGGCAAGGAAGTGATGTCAGGAGGAGGTTAATATAGGGCAAGGTGAATACTGATAGGCAGGGACAGAATTGAAGGAGGTATAAATAGATAGTGGCAATAGGCCACTGTCTCTTTAAATTTGGAGTCCACGTCATGCCTGCTGGTTACTTTGTGCATGCGCGCACGTCCCCGGGCACTCTCCCAAATGCGCGTGCGCCCCCGGAGACGCGCGCATGCAACGCTCGCTAGCGATCCACACCGCCCGACATGAGAGGACGGATGGCGGGACCGGGACGGCGCAGGATACCAGGTATGACAGAACCCTCCCCGAAGGAATGCCCACTGGAGGAACACAAGAAGGGCGAGAAGGAAACCTAGCATGGAACACCCTAAGGAGTTGGGGCACATGGACCTCAGAAGCAGGAACCCATGAGCGCTCCTCGGGCCCATAACCTTTCCAATGAACCAGGTACTGAAGTGAACCCTGGGAGATGCGGGAGTCGACAATATGTTGGATCTCATACTCCTCTTGACCATGAATCAAGACAGGAGGAGGACGAGGTTGGGAACGGGAATGACTGTTGCATATAAGCGGTTTCAGGAGGGACGTATGAAAGACGTTGGGCACACGAAGGTTTTTGGGCAAATCCAAAGCATAGGAAACAGGATTGATCCTTCACAAAACCTTGTAAGGACCAATGAACTTAGGAGCCAACTTCATTGAGGGAATGCGTAAGCGCAGGTTACGCGTGGGTAACCAAACTCTATCACCAGCAACATAAGAAGGTGCCGCCCTGTGGTGCCTATCAGCAAATGCTTTCTGAGTAAGCATAGTCTTCTCCAAGATGGCATTAACCATTCTCCAAGTGGCATGTACAGTGGATAAGTGTTCATCCAACACCGGCATTCCCTTGTGAGAAAACGAAGCCGGAAGAAGATTAGGATGACGACCATACGTGACAAAGAAGGGACTGTGACCAGAAGCAGAGTGCGTAGCATTATTCCTGTCGAATTCAGCCCAAGGAAGAAGGTCAGCCCAGTTGTCCTGGAGTTGAGACGTAAAACAACGGAGATATTGTTCAAGGCTTTGATTAGTCCTTTCAGCAGCACCATTCGTTTGAGGATGATAGGCTGAAGAGAAGGCGAGTTCAATGCCCATGTCTTTACAAAAAACCCTCCAAAACTTTGAAATAAATTGTGAACCCCTATCAGACACAATGACGTCTGGCATTCCGTGTAGTCGTATTATTTCCTTGGTGAATATACTAGCTATACTGGCTAATTCAGCAGAAGAAGGCAATTTTCTCAAAGGTACGAAATGCGCCATTTTAGAGAAACGATCAACTATAACCAAAATTACAGTAAAACCCTTAGATTGTGGTAACTCTACTATAAAATCCATAGACAGATGAGACCAAGGAACTAACGGCAAAGGAAGAGGATGAAGAAGACAACATGGTACTTGATGAGAAGGTTTAGATTGGGAACAAACATCACACGATGATACGTAAGCTTCAACTTCCTTTCTAAGAGATGGCCACCAATACTGTCGTATAATTAAATCAATGGTCTTAGACACCCCCATATGTCCAGCCATTTTACTGTCATGGTAATGGCTGAATACTTCCCCTCTCAACTCTGGAGGCACGTAGAATTTATCAACAGGCTTATCACTAGGTGACCTATCTTGGACCCTTTGTATCTTGTACAGAAGAGGGGAAGAGACCCTGATTCTAGTCAAAGCAATGATTCTCTCAGGAGGTATAATGGGTTCTGGTCTGACCTCCTCTTTATCAAGAGTGGCAAACTGTCTGGAAAGAGAATCTGCTTTGGTGTTCCGATTACCCGGTCTATAGGAGATTACATAATTGAAGCGGGAAAGAAAAAGAGCCCAGCGGGCTTGTCTGGGCAAAAGCCTCTTAGCGTCACTCAAATAGTATAAATTCTTATGATCTTTGAGAATCATTATAGGAACCGTAGATCCCTCAAGTAAGTGACGCCATTCCTTGAGAGCTGATACTATGGCTAATAATTCTCTATTACCGATATCATAATTCTTTTCAGCAGGTGTCAGCCTACGAGAAAAGAATCCACAAGGATGCAACAGAGCGGTAGGATATTCCCTCTGGTAAGGGTAGCCCCCACACCAGTCTCAGAGGCATCAACCTCAAGGATGAAGGGTCTAGAGGGGTCTGGATGTA